TTAAAGCAGGACCATTAATGTTCTATCTGGTGCAGCTAAGAAACATTTAATAGTCTCATACAGAAGGCATTACAAAAATTAGACTGCAAAATTTCTTCACCAAAAGGCCAGGAAAGCATTTGTCATAAATTATTTGGGTACATGTAACACAGCCCAGGAACTGCAGTATAGATTAGATGATAATCCTGGGATTTCTTTCCACAACGTTGTTCTATACGAGCTATATGTTGTTTCATCTTCTCTTAGAACAATGTGCATAAATAAAGAAAAACTGTCTGCCTTCTGCAATTGTAAACCTTGCCTAGTAAGTATTCTCTTGTACTATGGGCACAAAGGCAGAAGCAGAGGAAAAATTACAATTTCCAGGTAAAACCTCCAGGTTTTGAGTTTGAAAAGGCATTCCCAGAAATTCCAAGTAATTGCAGTAACATTCGTTAGAGGACAGGATCAAAACAGAACACTTCAACTGGCTAAACTGATCTTTATCTCCAATTGGCAAAAAGTTTCCAAGCACTGATCTTTGCTATTCCATCTATTTGGCATAGAACAGACAGAACCTACAGTGATGTGGCTTTTCAGGAATCTCTGGAAATGGGTTTGACAGTCAGAGTCTAGAATTAAGCAATCCCTAAGAGCTGACCTGGGACTACTGTGACAAGGAAGAGTCTTAGCAGAGAATGAAGCTGGTAAGCGAGTGGGGCAAAAGAGGCTGTCCCAGCGAACTTCTGCCTTGCTGCCAGAGCAAGGGAATACATTGCTGCATGCTGCCACTGCCCACAGCTGGCGCATCAGTATCCACCAAGCTATGAGTGTACCCAGGCAGGATTTGGGGAGAAAAGCATTTAACATTTGCCTTTCAGAGGCCTTCTGCTCAAGAGAAGCGTTTGTGGTAACAGGCACTTGCTCTAAGGAAGGCAGAGTTTGAAAAAAAACCCACAAAGCCTAACAAACACATCCAAAAGAAAAGGGAAAAAAAGTAGTATTTAATAATTAAACAAAATGTTTTCTGTTTAAAGACTGAAATTTTTTTTTTTTTTGGTGGTCATTCATCTCATACAATTGTGGCATCAAAACTTGTATACAGTTGTATACAAGTATATATACTGTATAACAGTCTTATACTTCTATAACAGTGTGTATATATGTATTTATATTTATATACATGCACCTTATACTTGTATGACTGTCCCTGGGCTGGTCCCTGATTCCTGCATGGCCCCAAATACTGTCACTTTTGCTGTAGGTAAGATGGGTTTCTCCAGTAAGGGATGGTAGGCGCCAGCTGGGAATATAAACTTCTTATAGCTATTTCCACATATTTCATAGACTGTTGTTGAGGGCAGGGGGTGTGCTTCTCACAGATGATTGCCATGCTAAGCTGAGCTGAACAAAGTAAACACTATTTTCTTACACAATCACAAATGATGAACACAGTTGAAGAAAACAGGAAATACACAATGGAAGAGAATTAAGAAGTTTAAAAAAAAGCGACAAGTAAAAAGAAAGGAGCTTCTACTTGGAAGAAAAGTTGCCGATTGTCCCTGGGTCACCTTGCACATTAAGCAAGCTCTGTGCAGCTCTGCTAAACCTTGTGTCATTCAGCTGTGAGATCTGCCTGAATGCCACTGTCCACAGGAACCTGTGCAGCTCTGAAAGGAAAAGACCTTTCAGATGAAAGCACCATGTCTGTTGTTTCAATAGCGCTGGCAGCCGTCTTTGTGCCGTGTAACTATGGTTGTTGACAGCCTGTTTTGCTGCTTCGTTAGATGCTTTGCCCCTATTCCCACGCTGAGAAGTAACATGACGACATAACCCATTCATAAAGGCAAACACCTCTCTGCGCTCTCCTTCCCAGGACTTTTCCACGGCCCAAGTCACCATTGGGACAGCTGAGTATGCTGGGATTACTCCTGTGTGCACATTTTTGCCAACCTCCATCCGAAGGTCACTTTCCTCTAGTGTGAATAGGCATGTTTTCACATATTAGAAAAGCATACCTCACTCTTTATGTAAGCAAGTCTAGTGTCCTTGTGAACATAAATGTCAGTTACACATTCGTTGATTTAGTAAAGCCCCTGAGCTGAATGTCTGGTTGGAATACTGAGCAGAAATACACATGGTTCTAACCCATGTGTACTGCTACCTTTTGTTTGTTTTTCCAGAAAATCACAGGATGTTTGATGCTATTGTCACATTTCACCAACTGATTTGTATTAGCAACCTTTGTAAAACTCCAGCTATACTTTATGCAATGCTTATGTAAGTCCCCTAGGATTAATTACCTTGCTGAGAGTCCAATTTATTTAGCAGTTAGGAAAAATAAAGACAGTAGCTGGTGAGTTTGCTGTTTTGAAATGAAAGGCCAGAGTCCTTAGGTCTGTTCCCAGGCTAAATGCTAGTTTTAGAAATTCATTATTTGGAAGACTCTAAACAAGAACTTTACATTGCAATCTTTTTTTGCATCATTTAGCCTCCAAATAACTTCCCTATTCAAACCGTGAGCATACTAATGAAAAGAACAAACCAACAAGAATGTAAATTGTTTACATGATAGCTTTCAGAATCAACATTTCTTTCTCAGCCTGAATTTGTCAAACTGGTAACACTGGTCTCAGGAAATGCACTGTGACACTCTAAAATGTTGCAACACCATTAGGGAAGTCACTGGAACCACCAAAAAAAGCTATCAAGGAGAAACTTTGTCTTAAGCAGAAATCCAACACCAGAATTATGTGCTCACTAAAAAATAATGGGATTTTGGCTCTGCAAGCCTCCCAGAGCCCTCTTCCCAGAAAGAGGAGATCTGTAGGCTGCAAAGCCCCTGGACTGGGCAGTGCTGGGACAATAGAAGTCCCAGCTGTGCAGAGACAGTGGGCTGCCTGTGCCATAGGGCAGCCTGACTGCCCCAGGGAGCTGCTCTTTCAGCACATTAACACCAGAAGTCACAAGAAATTACGCTTTTTGAAGGCAGCCTTTGGGACTTCTTATACGGCATCTGCAGCTGGGAAATCCTCCTGCATATATCCCACGGCTTTAGAGTCCTTTCACTGTCACCATAGCCCATTTTGCTCTAGACCCACCTTTTAACTTGAGCTCTGCCCATTTGGCTGTAAGGGCAGCGCTCAGGACCAGTGGTTTCACTGTCTATTCAACAATTTCTATTCAACAACTACAAGGCACTGCCTTGCACAGCACATGCAAATCACATCATTTCACAGTATCACTAGTATTTTCTGTGGAACAGCTTGACACATACAGCACAACGACTTGGAGCACAGTGGATGAACAACTGCTGTACAGAAGATACGTACCAAGCATGAACTGCAGATCTGGAGGGGCTGTAGTTATCAGGGCTCCAATGCCAACCTGCCTTGAGTCAATGGGGATAGACTGTTCTGCAGCAGCTGTGGGTTTGGCCTAAAGGAATATAAATCTCTGGAAGTGTTCAAAAAACGTGTGGATGTGGCACTTCAGGACATGGTTTAGAGGACACAGTGGTGCTGGATTAATGGTTGGACTTGATGATCTTGAAGGCCCTTTCTAACCTTAGTGATTCTGTGAACTATCTGGATATCCTGTTACTTGATTAACTCACTAGATAACTTAATGTGAGACATTGTTAAGACATTAAGAACAAAGTCTTAAAGAGATCATGCACGTTCCTACTGTAAAGTTTGCAAGAGCTCCCTTTAGTGTGCTAGCTTTTCTTAAGGAACACTTAAGGTTTATGTGACCCAATTTAGGGATCTTTTAGATGCAATTCTGATGTACACTGTAAGTTCACTTTGCTCCTCCCTATACTTACTATATTTACATTTTTTGTGACAGAATTCAACAATAGATTGCATCTGATTTCCTTTGTTCATTTGGCTGCACCCTTTCAGGATATTAAAAATCCCTTAATGGCTTTTCATGTATTACACTGACTGTTAAAAATAAAGCCAAGTGAAGTATTTTCTGTGAAATTCTTAATGCTGTCTGCTGGCTCCAGACAGTGGAAACTCTCCGGCCTTCCACAGATTTTCTGAAAGAAATGTCACATTAGTGGCTCTTTTACCCCAGACACATTTCACATTAACGTATTTCTTTCCTTATCTCCTTTTTCCAGAGGTAAGTGCCCACTAGCTCATGAAAGCCAAGTCTTGCGAGTGTGCATTGCAGGCCACATATTTTAGGTTTTCTGCAAATCTTCTACACTCTTCATGACCTTCTACAGCCTCCTATGGCCTCATCTGCTGGGGACTACGTAATGTGCCACAACTACACATCTTAGAAAATGTCAACTAATGGGAATAAGACTGGAGGTGCAGAAGAGGACAGAGGATCTGCTGAGTGCTTCCTTTCTTTCTGGAGAATTGGGAAACAAGAGAACTACTCCCTGGGGTGCAAGTGCTTCAAAGCAATGAGGAGGCAGCATTAGCAAAGGATGCCAAGTCCTTAATGATTCACTGCCACTTTTCCACTCTGAGTAATTCCCTGAGAGGGCAAGGAAAGCTGTCAGGGGTCCTCTGATTTACGGCCATTCAACGTTTGACTCTCCTTCTGCAGGAGCTGCCACAGCTGCAGTCCTAAAGACAACAGCCGGAGAGATCCACTGAGAAAGGTCCCTGGGAAAGTAGTTCACCCTCCTTGCTCCCCCTCCTCTCCACTGGGTAGTTTGTATCCTGCTTTTGTGTCACATCAGGTGTAGGTAGCTGCTGCCCAGCACAGACAAAACTCAAAGAGCAAGTGCAGACCACAGTTTTACACCTTCCATGCTCAGACTTGGTAACAAAGCCACTCCGCCAATTTGATGCATTCAGGGGTTTTAAAGCATTAAAAAAAAAAAAAAAAAAAAAAAAAAAAAGGGGGCTGTGCTCTATTGTCCCTGTATTGCACTGCCTCTTTAAAATCAGAAATGCATGGACAGCTTCAAGGTGCCTCCCACTGAGAAAAGGCTTTAGATGCATGCACAGAGACAGCGGAGCCATCCTCCCCTGAGCAGCAGGGCAAACCTGCTCGGGAGAGAAATGATCATTCGGTGATGTCCTCTGGCTGCTTTCAGTGATCCTTTCTCTGCTCCAGTGACAGCAGCGTGTTTGCAGGGGAGAAACTTGGAGGCTATTCCCAGGGTGCCTGAGACCTCCAACACAATGAGAGCAACTGCAGGTACAGTTAGCTGTATGTCAGTTTGTGGATGGTTGTGTTGTCGGGATTTATTTTAAAGCTCTCTGTTGGTATTTCGCAGGGAAACCTTTCTAAAACAGATACTGCTCCTTGCTCTGACCAACATACAGATTTTGCATGCAAGTATTTATTTTAGTACTTCTCTTAAATGAATGCTCACATTTCTAGGCAGCTGTGGGGATGCCTTGTAAAGCAGTCAATTGTTTGAACTGTTATTTAGTTTCAGGCTTTGTCTTTCTGTTATTCTGTTGTTCTGCAACTCTCAGTTTGAAAAGCAGTGTAGAGACAGAAGTTCTACAAGAGAGTTTCTCTCAGAAATTTATTACATGTTGATACATCAGGGGCTGAGGGTGGTTCCAGGGAAAGATAGGGGCAACAGCTCCATTATGCAGACTGTCCTTTGTAGCCATGATGGGCATTGTTCAACAACATTTGACACCCTGAAGACTGACTGTCTCAAAGCAGAAAAAGTAGTAATGCCCCTGATTCTCTTCTGGGATGGGGTGGGACTGTCCTGACAGCTGGGAGTCTGGTGTGAGGATTCACAGATGTGGCATAAGAAATGCAAGAAGACAGCCCTCTCAGCATTTTGATACAGAGTAGAGGCAAAATTAGGGTGTAGATTAGATTTTTTTCCTCAGTGCGGAAAATAAATCAATTTTTAACATTTGGTACAACTGGCGGTATAAAGAGGGGAGCCTGCTCCTCCCAGTCTTCAAAAAATCAAGTCACTTTTTCTTGCTTAAGGAAGATTTTCCCTTTTACCTCAAGGGCCTGTTTGCAGAAGCACTCTCCCTGTGAAACGGCAGATTTGCCTTCACAGCAAAGCCCTACAAGCTGGCCCATGGGACAAAATCTTGTCTATGCAAATTGGCGGAGCTCCACCGGATTGAGAGAAGCAATAATGGATTATGCTGGCTGAAAATCTGGTCCCCTAACTCCATTAATGACTGCCAAAAAGGAAAGTGCTGGCTTCGCTATTTTCTTGGGTCTCGGCAACTCTTACTTAATTAAGAAATGTATTTAGAAGCCAGGACATCAGTTGTCCTTTCATCCTCACCTACCACATGGCTCTGATTGAGATATCTAGCATAAAGGAAAAACTCTGTCCAAAAGGCACTTCAAATACTATTCAGCAAATTGAGGTGTCATCTCATTTTAGTTTTTTTACCTTCCACAGGGATGACAGCTCTGTGGGCTTGAAGGATGGCGGAGGTTTAAACTGGATTTTACATTTCTATATTGTCATTTCACTGCATGCTGAAAACAAAATTTCATTGTTGGTAAATAAAACTTCTGGGTGTAACAACCAGTGTATTATGCAACTCAAGGGATTTTATAACAGAAGCATCCTTTCACAGGGTATTTCTTCTTACTGTGCACAGCCAGCAATATTGCTGTGGGGCAATAAGGTGGCTATTGCTTTCCCTCAAGCACAGTATTTTTGCTGTAATTTCCTCTCAGGAAATGTTTTCCTCTTTTTGTTCCCACAGAAGCAGATAAGTGAGGCTGTTGCTTTACGATCTCATGGGGACAAAGACAAGGTGACTCACTGCTCAGAAGGAAACTTTGGATGAGGTCTCTCGCCTGCTACCATCATGACCTGCCACCCTGGGTAATTCTAACACGAAACCAAGGGCCAGCCAAGCCACATGTGTCGAAAGAAGACAGACATGGCCATGGAGCAAGCTGAACATAACCCAAATGCTACCGTCAACCTCAACTTTGCTGCAATCTACAATCTCCACGATGGGGATTTAACCTCCTTGCGAAACTTCTCCTTCCCTTTCAATTTCAGTTACAGCGATTACGACCTGCCACTGGACAGTGAGGACGACATGACCAAAACCCGTACCTTCTTTGCAGCCAAGATTGTGATTGGGGTTGCTCTGGTTGGCATCATGCTGGTCTGTGGCATTGGCAACTTCGTCTTCATTGCTGCTCTTGCTCGTTACAAGAAGCTGCGAAACCTCACCAACCTGCTGATTGCCAACCTGGCTATCTCAGACTTCATTGTGGCCATCGTGTGCTGCCCCTTCGAGATGGACTACTACGTGGTGCGGCAGCTGTCCTGGGAGCATGGCCACGTCCTCTGTGCCTCAGTCAACTACCTACGGACTGTCTCCCTCTATGTTTCTACCAATGCTCTCCTGGCTATAGCTGTTGACAGGTAAGTGGGGTGCTATCACTGCGCAAGGAGATGGACATTGCTTCCGGGGCTGGCTGTCCAGATTTGTAGGTTTTTAACATGCTCAGCTGTTCTGTAGAATCTGATGTCAAGGTAGATACTACACAGACCTGGGTATCTTGTTTCGTAAGTATGTAACCACATGAGGTCATGACATTACCCCGGAGAAAACTCAGTGGAAATGTCTTGACTGAACTTTTCAGGTGAAAAGAATTGATTTCTTAACATGATTTCTTTTTTTCATAAAAATACGCCTTATTCAAGTGTAGGG